GGACTTAATGGGGGCCAGAGTGTGGCAAGAGGGTGACCCGCCTACCCTGCCAGGGTCATGTAGATGAGCACACATATCCCAGAGGGTAATTTGGCAAAACAAATCAAAGGCTTTCAAGTATTCACTCGTCAACCAGTCATTCTTCTTCTAAGAATCTATCCAAAGGAAATCAACAGAGATGCCAAGATACCCGTGCAGGATGTTCATCATAGAGTTATCTGTAATATGCAAACTTGAACACAATGATACTCACCCTGACAAGAGGGAACAGGATGTGTAAACAGTAGTGCATCCATCTGACATATTTTATGCAGTTGTCAATATATGCTGGAAAAAATCTTAATAGCATAAGGAAATGTTTGTGCTAAGTTGAATTTTAAAAGTTAGGTAAAAACCTATACCTAGTCTGATCACAAATATGTTTAAAAAATTGATGTTTGTATGCACACACACATATGCACAGCATCATCTAGAAGGAAGACTGGAAATATGCATGTGTGTAATGAACAGTACGTTTGACAAGTGATGGGATTTTTATTGCCTTCTGTATACTGTCCTGTGTTTCCCAAATATTCTGCAATGAGTATGCGTTACTTCTATCATCAGAAAATAAATAAATTATTTTAAAAGAGGAAAGAAGTCTCCCTTTTCATGAATGGAGGATGGAATACGGGGGAGGCAGGTGGAGTGATGAGGACCAGCCGGGAACTGCTGCACTGGATGGGGCAGGGAAGGGCAAGCGGAAGATTCAAGAGACTGGGGAGGCAGCAATGTCAGGATTTGCGGACTGACTGGCTGGGGGCATGAGGAAGAGAGAGGAGGCAGGCATGATGCTCCGGTTTGTGGGTTGGAGAAGGAAGACAGGACGTGGTAGCCAGCCTCCTGATGGTCCCCAGTGATGCTTGCCTCCCGATGTTCACGTCCATGTGTGTGGTCCCTCCCACCCTGAACAGAGCTGACTTGTGTGACCGTAGGATATAGCAGAAGTGGCAGGGTGCGACTTCTGAAGCTAGGCCATAAAAGATATTGATAGAGACAGAAAGTAGAAAGAAAGTTACTAGGGCCTTTGAGGAGGGGAGGGAAGGGGCGATTGTGGGATGACGAAAAAATTCTGGAGATGGATGATGGCGATGGTTGCACAACCATGTGGATGTACTTAATGCTGTTGAACTGTACACTTAAAAATGGCTAAAATGGGGCCAGCCCTGGTGGCCTAGTGGTTAAGTTGGGCACACTCCACTAAAAAAAAAGAGGAAGATTGGTATGGATGTTAGCTCAGGGCGAATCTTCCTCAGCAAAGAAAAAGAATTGCTAAAATGGTGAATTTTATGTCATGTATATTTTACCAGAATAAAAAGTGTTTTTAACATAAAAAAGTATTGCAAGCCTCTGCCTTTGTCTCTCTTGGATCACATGCCCTGGGGACAGCCAGCCACCATGTTGTGAGGACACTCAAGCAGCCCTGGGGAGGGGTCCAGGTGTGGAGGAACTCAGGCCTATTGTCAACAGCAGCACTGACTGGCCAGGCAGGTGCGTGTGAGCCCCCAAGAAAACAGATCCGCCAGCCCCAGGCAGGCCTCCAGTTGACGATAGAAAACATATAAAATAATTTTGTTAATTGCTTTAACCCACTAAGTTTTCGGGGAATTTGTTATCCAGTAATACATAACTAATCCATAGAAGGAGATATAGATTTGAGCCAACTCATGCCCTTTCACGGTTTAAACCACCATCTCATTTTTCTAGCTTCTACTTAGTATGTAGAAGGCTGGAAAGTACCACGTTCACACCGTTACAACAAAAACCCTAGATAATACGCAGAATCACAATTTTTCTCAAACACATCAGAGAGCCCAGGTTGCAGCTGGCTCCCTATTAGGGCCCAGCCGGGGGTGCTAGAGAGAGACCAGGAGTCAGGCGCCAGGGGAGGGTCTTGCCTCTTCCTGCTCGCCTGCTGGTCCTGCTGGCACGCACACAGCAGGCCCGGGGTGGCCCTGGGAGGTGTCTGCTTCCTGTAGTCACTACCACCTATGTCCCCTCAGGGTCCCCTTTTTGCCTTTTCGGTCCCCCAATAATACCCATTTAACCAGTTCCCTAAATTAAATTCCCTTTGTTGAAATCTCCACGTGGTTTGTTTTCCTAACTGGCCCTGAGCTGATACAGCACATGAACTCAATTCAACTCATCAATGATTGTGCCAGGTTCTCGTTAGGGGCACAGACACAAGTGACTTGGGGATCCCACTCGTCCAGATAAACCTTCATCATCTGACCCTTGTTCACCTTTCCTGACTTGCCTACCAACCTTCACTCCACCTGTGGTCCAGCCACAAGACTACCTGTAACCTCACCCCCACCCCAACCTGGCATTTTTCTCGATCTCTGCATGCTTTTTGAGCCTGACTGGACTGAAATCGGACAATAAGAAAATGAGACCCCTCAGCATTTGAGGAAGCATCACAGAGAAGGAAGGAATTTGTTTTCTTTTTCGTTCGTTTATTTGTTTTATGCCTTGAGAGAAACGGCAAGAGAAAAGAATGAATTATGCTGAGGCTGACTCACTTTCACTTTCTAATTTCTTTTTTCTTACTGATGTTTTCATTTTTGGGGAAAGTCACAGACAAGAAAGAGAAACCCAGGAGATCAGTGTCATTTCTTTCCTACTCCATCCAGCTCAAGCAGGCCACTGTGATAACCTGCTTTATCTACTCAGAAGAGGAAGAAGGAAAAGACGACGAGATGGGAATGCGTGTGCTTGTGCACACACACGCGTGCACACGCACATGTGTGTTCGGGCCTGCGAATTAATTTCCCTAACTGAAATAATAATGCTAAAACTTCCAGCAATGTATAGAAACAACTCCAGGAGATGCCTTCATGGAGGTGGTGTTGAGAAAGAACAGAAATTTCACCCCCTACAGTCTTATTGTTTATCAACTAGGAACAGAAGTGAAAAAATGAGACGCTGATCTACCACCCGACAAAGACCCCAGGCCCCCAAGGAAAAAGCATTTTCAAGAAACGAAATAAATGGGGCTAGCCCGGTGGAGCAGCAGTTAAGTGCGCACATTCTGCTTCAGTGGCCCAGGGTTCGTCGGTTTGGATCCCAGGTGCGAACACGGCACCACTTGGCACACCATGCTGTGGCAGGCATCCCACATATAAAGTAGAGGAAGATGGGCATGGATGTGAGCTCAGGGCCTGTCTTCCTCAGCAAAAAGAGGAGGATTGGCTTAGGGCTAATCTTCCTCAAAAGAAAAAAGAAAGAAACTAAATAAAGTAATAAAACTTAGAGAAAGACCCCGTGCTGCCCTGCTTACCTAGAGTACACACTAAGTGGGGATGATAGCCCCCAAAGCTGGTACTTGGAGGATGAAAAAATCATAGATTTTACAATAGTTTGTGGCATGCTCCAAAAGGCATACGCAATGTATCTGGGATATTAAGCTTTCATGGATGGGTAGTATTTAGGAAAAAAATGTTAACAAGGCTGTTTGGGGACAGGAGAGAGGGCGATAATGAACAGAGTGTTGCGAAACGCAGGCCCAGATGAAGTCACGTACACTGGCTGCATTATTCTGCTTGAGCACTCCCATTAGTATTCCATTTCCCTCCAGATTTCTAATAAACTCAGCAGAAATATCACTTTTTCTTGAGTAAGAGGGTCAGGAAAATAATCCAGTGGAGAATCTAAGGCTGACCCAACAAGGACCTCCGTTGACAGTGCCTTTTATAAAAGCTGCGTGACAACCCTCAAAACAATGGCTTCCTTTACTTGTCAACACATTTTTGGTCGAGGCCGAATAGCTTATTTCTTTACCTCAAACCATCACTTTTTCCAAAAAAAAAAAAGTTTCCAGCCACTCTATTCCCTCTGGGTCAGTCTAGGCTTCCTGGCGTGCAGTCCTCACTGTCACACATCACAGAGCAGGGTGCCACCCACGCTACAGCTACGGACAGATGGGAAGCTCAGAGCATGCTGCCTCCACTTTATTTTGATGACACATGTGTGCCCTTGTCTGATAAGGTGTTCTCTTGTCTGTACAGCTCACATCCTCTGACACGGCACTTTTGTACCCAAAGCACACTCAGTTCACTCCTTTCAAGTCCTGGCTACCGATTACTGTCACATCAACTTTGCAGATACTGCCTAAGACCTTCATGGTACAGGGGCCAAATACACACCTCCATTCATATGATCACGACATGCGCTCACGTCATAATCATCAACATCCGCTAAACTCTAGTGCTGTTCACACGCTGTGGTCTTCAGTGCTCCGTTCGATCATTTTGATAAGGATCATAAGCGAGGTTTTGTGCTTGGTGCTGTAAGGGACTAACAAGACTTTAAAAGCCCCGTTGCTGCTTGTGGAAAGAGGAGGGCAGAAACGATCATATAATAGAAGGCACTTTCGACAATTCTGGAAGAGACGTACAAAACAGAGCTGCTGGTGTTTTGAGGGAGGGAAACTTCGCTCCCAGAAACAGGATGTCAGGGAAACTTCCAGGCCAACCGGCAGAGTTCAGCAGGTAGAAATGCGTGTGGAGGGGGCCGGCCCCATGGCCGAGTGGTTAAGTTCACGTGCTCTGCTTCGGCGGCCCAGGGTTTCGCCAGTTCAGATCCTGGGTGCAGACATGGCCCCGCTCATCAGGCCATGCTGAGGCGGCGTCTCACATGCCACAACTGGAAGGACCCACAACTAAAAATATACAACTATGTATGGCGGGGGGGGTGCCTTGGGGAGAAAAAGGAAAAATAATATCTTAAAAAAAAAAAAAAAGAGTTGGGTGTAGAGAAGGAGGTACCACAAGCTAAGATTGTGAACGGCTTGCGTGGAGGGGCAGAGGCAGGAAAGTGTAAATGAGTGGAACGGGAGGATGGCAGACACAGGCCTGTCTGCCACACCCTGCACAGTTGTTATATACAGAAGTCTTAACACCAACTGTTTTTAAACTGGGAATATATTATTTTACTTTAGCAAAAAATTTAAGATCATTTACCTTCAGTTGGAAATTTCTTGGCTCGTTCCTCAAAGAACCACTCTCCAGTTTTTATTTTCATGTTTCTGAAAAACAAGCAGAAAGGAAGCCTCAGACCGAGATGTGGATGGCGCTGTATTTGGCTCAGGAGAGTTAGGTAGATAACATCACAAAATAATCGTTTTGCAAGGAAATTCAGAGTGCAAATTTCTGGCCCAACCACTAACCTTACAGATCTCCCATAGAGGTGAAGTGATTTGACTAGTTAGCAGCAAAACAGGAGTCTCTGATTGGGTAAATTTTACCCAATATGTAACATGTACATGTACTGTATACACATTAACACATGCGTGTGCCCAATACACATGAAGTGCTTAATGTTTTCTGAATAAATATACAAGGAGAAACAAAATTGCCATCAAAATGATCCATCTATCATGTTTATGGTGGGAAGCAACGGCATGAAGGAGAATGGACAAAAAATTCAATGCCATCTATTTGGCTAAGCAGGAGATCACCCTCAGGTTAGGTTAAGGTTAGTCGGTGTTAACCACAGCGTTTACCAAGAGCCGACAGAGAAGATTCGCCTGGGAAGTTCCCGGGAGGAGATGAAGTCGGGGCTATGGGATCAATGTGCTTGCGGAAATCTGGGGACCTGGTCCGAGTGGACCACTTGAGAGACAGAGGAAAGGACCTCTTCTTGGCCAGCTGGTCTTGTAACCACAGGACCAGTTTAAACTGACCCCATCTTATTAAGAACAGAATGTTGAAGTGGTTCTTCAGGGGCAGCGAGCCAAAACTGCAAGTCGTGTAGCTGGAGCAGGCGCAGAGCAGAAAATCTTGACCTGAAATATCACCTGCAACCAAAGATTCCCCGCCCGCATGGAGCCAAAAGGAGTAGGGCATGACCAGAACTCAAAAGACCCTTTCCGAAAGTGAGGGGTCGGTCGTCCAGGAAGATCCAGCGTTGAAGCCCCTTTCTAACCCTTACCATAAATGATCTAGTTGGAGTCCTGCCCACTGAAACTTGTCCTCATCCCAGTCTGCCCTCCCTAATCCCTTACATTCTACCCCAAACCTGGACTGGGGAGAGAGATTTGAGAGCCTTGCCTCGCCTCCTGTCTCCTTGCTGGTTGACTCACAATATAGCCTTTTCTTCTCTCAAAAGCTGGTGCTAGGTGCTGGCCTGGTGGCATAGCAGTTAAGTTTGAGCACTCCACTTCGGCAGCCTGGGGTTCACAAGTTCAGATCCTGGGTGTAGACCCAGTACCGCTCATCAAGCCAGGCTGAGGTGGCATCCCACATAGCAGAATTAGAAGGATCTACAATTAGAAGATACAACTATGCACTTGGGGCTTCAGGGCGAAGAAGAAGAAGAAGAAAGAAAAGATTGGCAACAGATGTTAGCTCAGGGCCAATCTTTAAAAAAAAAAAAGAAAAATTACCCAAAGAAGTTCCCCAGGAGGTTATTTTAGGCTATACACCAACTCAAATGGACTTTTTTACTTAGTGCTTCCAAATGCTGTTAATGTAAACAAATTCACAAATATGTGCCAATCCACTTGTTTTTTACAGAAATATCCTGTCTTTTTGTATGGAGTTCTAGTAGTTGTCAGAAGACATCAGCCCACTTCTTCCCCCAGTTAGAAACTATTATATTCTCTGATTAGTATGTGAATGATTATTCCCAAGGCTTAGGGACTAGAACAAGTAAAACATACACAGAGCATTTGTAAATTCTGATAACAGAGTTTTGATAATCAGTCACTACCATTCAGAGCCAAAAGTACATAACATGTTCAACTGTGATATGTGTCTAGAGAGACAGGCAAAAGTTTGCGTCCATGAAATCAGCAACTCAAAGATCTAACCTACAGAATGGCACACTTCAAGGAGCACAACGTCAGCATCTCAGCAGTTTTCCCCTCGGGCGCTTGAAGGCGAGCCGAGGAGCAAAGACCAGGGGAAACGTGGAGAGAGTCACAGCGGGGTTGAGAACTCGCTCTCCTTTGAAGTGCGACACCTGCCAACTTGTCTGTTTCTCAGGATGCCTCCTCCATCCTTACAAGCAGGACAAGGTGTGACCATTAGATGAGGAGAGTACAAGAGCAAAATCAAACGTGGAAACAAGAAGGCCTCCATCAGTAAAGGAAATTCGCTTCCTGGGGGTTTTTCTGGTGGTGGTGACCGTCTCAGTTAATCCACTCTCTCGCCCTCACCAGCTGTTACTCTTGTGACCAAAAGCATTCATATATGAGACAGGAACTGGGGATGGCCAAGCCCTCAGACTGGAAAAGAGATCAGAGCCGATTCAGCAGCGAATCAAACCACGACCCTCTCCACGGTCAGCTGAGCTAGCCCGGCACAGGCCACCACCGGGAAGCAAACACACACACAGCGACACATCCACGGAAAATGAAAACCAGCCAAGGGGAGGGAGGAGAGGAAGGTGAAAAAGCCTGTGTAAATCGACATTCTATGACAAGGCCTCCACGAGCCCCGGTTTCAGAACCCACACAAGAAGGAGATAAATTAAAATACTAGTCACCTAGCGCCAGCCGTCTACAGTAACCATGGAATCATCTAATTAAATCCCAAGTGATTACAGTAGTCCCCCTTTATCCAAGGTTTCACTTTACAGTTTGTCACACAAGGTCAACCACAGACAAAAATATCAAATGGAAAATTCCAGAAATAAGCAATTCATAAGTTTTGAGTTGCACGCTGTTCTGAGTACCGTGATGAAATCACGCACCATCCCGCTTCCTTCCGCCGAGGATGTCGCTCATCCTTTGGTCCAGCGGATCCACGCTGTAGACACTGCCCACTCATCAGTCACTTAGCAGCTCTCTTGGTTATCAGATCAACCACTGCGGTGTCCCAGTGCTCGTGTTCTGGTAACCCTTATTTTACTTAAGAATGGCCCCAAAGCAGACTTTATTATTAGTTATCGTTGTTAACCTCACTGTGACTAGTTTATGAATTAAACTTTATTATAGGTATGTACGCGTAGGAAAAAACAGGATATATAGAGTTTGGTACCCTTTGGGGTTCAGGCATCCACCGGGGGTCCTGGAACACATCCCCTGCAGATAAGGGGACCACAGTACTTGTGACGTTCAAGCAGGAGCTTATTTAGCACAGACAGGTTTGGACACAAAGTCGCAGGTCTCTTGGGCTTATCCGTGATTAAAGAATGGAAGGATAAAAATACCACAGTCCTAAACCATATGCCGACCAGCACTTCTTGCATTTGAGGCTTTTTCCTTGGAAAACTAGATTTGAGCTGGCTATCCATAAGTATTTCGTACAGAATCAGCCATTTCATAAGCAATCATTCTCTAATATGTTTTTTATTTATTTTTTTTTATTGAGTTAATGATAGGTTACAATCTTGTGAAATTTCAGTTGTATGTTATTGTCGGTCAGTCATGTTGTAGGTGCACCATTTCACCCTTTGTACCCACCCCCTACCCCACCTTTCCCCTGGTAGCCACTAATCTGTTCTCTTTGTCCACATGTTTAAATTCCTCATATGAGTGGAGTCATATAGAGATTGTCCTTCTCTGTCTGGTTTATTTCACTTATCATAATTCCCTCAAGGTCCATCCATGTTGTTGCAAATGGGACAATTTTGTTCTTTTTTATGTCTGAGTAGTATTCCATTGTATATATATATACGTCATTTTCTTTATCCAATCATCTGTTGATGGGCACGTAGGTTGCTTCCATGTCTTGGCGATTGTAAATAATGCTGCAATGAACATGGAGGTGCATGGGACTTTTGGAATTGCTGATTTCAGGTTCTTTGGATAGATACCCAGTAGTGGGATAGCTGGATCGTATGGTAGTTCTATTTTTAATTTTTTGAGGAATCTCCATACTGTTTTCCATAGTGGCTGCACCACTTTGCATTCCCACCAGCAGTGTATGAGGGTTCCTTTTTCTCCACAACCTCTCCAACATTTGTTACTATTTGTTTTAGTTATTTTTGTCATTCTAATGGGTGTAAGGTGATATCTTAGTGTAGTTTTGATTTGCATTTCCCTGATGCACAGCAATGTAATACTTTTTTTTTTAATAGTTTTTTTTTGAGGAAGATTAGCCCTGAGCTAACATCTACTGCCAATCCTCCTCTTTTTGCTGAGGAAGACTGGCCCTGAGCTAACGTCCATGCCCATCTTCCTCTACTTTATATGTGGGACGCCTACCACAGCATGGCTTGACAAGTGGTGCCATGTCCACACCCAGGAACCGCACCGGCAAACCCCAGGCCGCTGAAGCAGAACATGCACACTTAACCGCTGCGCCCCGGGATGGGCCCCCTAATGCTATTCATAAGGGCTGGCTGTGTACATCAACCCCAAGTTTTACAAAGAGGACCATTTATCACTCTTATTGTCTAAGACAGAGGTGAGCAGATCTTGCAGCGGCCTCACCTGCAGTGTCTCTGCCCTTTTTATGGCCAACACAGGGTAGCCTGACTCACAGTAACCAAAGGAAGCATTTATTATTTCTGCCCGGATGACTAAATCAGAATTTGGCAATGAAAGCTTCTTGGAACATTTTCTGAGCTCAGCAATAGGTCAATGCTTTTACATTTCTCAGATAGAAAATCATGACTTGCTTCTTCAAAACCTTTTCAATTAATCGATAAATACATCTTGAAAAGCAAAAGCCAAGGGTGGTGGAGAGAGCAGAAGATGCAGAGTCAGGAGACCTGAGTTTGGTGTCTGACCTCCCACTAACTCTGCGTGAGGATCAGTATAATTATAAACGCCAAGCACAGGGTGCATAGATGGCCCTTAATAAACTTCTGGAGGTTCCGGTATCCATTTTCATAACCTTGAACTCTGCTAATGCTGTCATTTCATTAGCAAATGAGAAATAACTGTTGAAAAGCACTTTACAAATTCTAGCATACAAATGTCCAATAATACGATGAATGGAGGACCCTAATAGAAAGATAGCTTGACCTTATTACTGTCAACAAGCAAGGACTCAAACAGCCCTGTTGGAATGCATTTTTGCTTTGCATTCAAATTAATTGCATCTGCAGGTGGCTAAACTGTCACATCCAGGCCTT